GTCCATAGGGTCTTCGTTTTAGTCCATGGGGTCTTCGTTTTAGTCCATAGGGTCTTCGTTTTAGTCCATGTGGTCTTCGTTTTAGTCCATAGGGTCTTCGTTTTAGTCCATGGGGTCTTCGTTTTAGTTCATAGGGTCTTCGTTTTAGTCCAAGGGGTCTTAGGTCTTAGGTCTTCGTTTTTGGGTCTTCGTTTTAGTAACACCCGTACTTTGCGAAACGGTACTTTGCGAAACGGTTAAACAAGCGCCAATGCGCCTAAATTTTCGTTGGCGACCAAATCCTGAAAATTAGCAGCCTAGAATGCTTCATCACACTTTATCTCTAGTACCTAGAATGCTACTGAAAGCTTAAGATTTGTTTCCAAAGAGCAATGTATTACCAGACGCCATCTTGGATTTAGGTGACTTGGAACGTTGTGTATGAACTATTTTAGTGTCGTTTTTGTAACACGTGTTAATTTTTCATACGCAGACATGTAAAAAGAGCGTTTCAGAGCGTTTTTCTTGTAAATTTATTTTTTAATTACTATGAGTACCATATATGAATTACAATCAAAGCAAATCAAACAAAAACTATTAGCACGTCTTCATTACGCGAAAAAACGGACCCGTCAATAAATGACAGTTGTAGCCGTTTTCACGGTTGGAACGTTTCCTAACAAAAATATCAATCAATGCCTGATAGTCTTCGTCTTTCCAAGAGTTCCAAGACGAAGAGACTCGGGGGCCATAGGGTTTTTTCATCATGTAAGCGGGCTCTATGGGTACGCTTTGAATACAGTCATGTCTTTGTGTAGTAACCACCCTGGAGAAGTTGACAACTGGGGGCAGCTATTTTCTCATAGACGCGAAACATCATGAGGTTACCGCTATGAGCCTATGAGCCTTGTCGCTAGCCACGAGGTTACAAACTGTGCAACTAACATGCGTTTTTTGGTTGTCACTAGTGACAACAAGATAAGTAATAATTTACGAGGGTGTGTGAAAAACGTTTGATTGGCGTAAGGAGGCCCCATATCAGCACACGGTTCAGCACTACACGGAATGTTAAACCCTGTGAACTAAAAGCGAACTAATGTTTGAAAGGCTAAGAAACACAAGTCAGCAATTTAAAATGAAATTGTTCACATTTATTGGCCTAAATTTTGCACAAAGGTTTGTTACAGAAAACCAAATCCAAATTTCGAAAAACATACAGTTAAGTTTTGGATCTAACTTATCCAACATAATTGAAGCAAATTAAAACATGCAATCTATGTGCCAGTTTGTCTTTAAACAAACAAAAAAGCGTCTATGGGCCACAGAAAGAAGAATTGTTACGGTTTTACTAAATTTGTCATTGTTCCATTTGTTGTCATTGTTACTGTTAATGTTTTTGTTTGATTTGCTTTGATTGTAATTCATATATGGTACTCATAGTAATTAAAAAATAAATTTACAAGAAAAACGCTCTGAAACGCTCTTTTTAGGCTTACGGTACTTTGCGAAACAAAACGAAACGAAACGAAATGGTACTTTGCGAAACGGTACTTTGCGAAATGGTACTTTGCGAAATGGTACTTTGCGAAACGGTACTTTGCGAAACGGTTACACAAGCGCCAATGCGCCTAAATTTTTAGCTGGCGACCAAATCCTGAAAATTAGAAGCCTAGAATGCTTCATCACACCTTATCTCTAGTACCTAGAATGCTACTGAAAGCTTAAGATTTGTTTCCAAAGAACAATGTATTACCAGACGCCATCTTGGATTTAAGTGACTTGGAACGTTGTGTATGAACTTTTTTAGTCAGGGCGGTTTAGTGTCGTTTTTGTAACACGTGTTAATTTTTCATACGCAGACATGTAAAAAGAGCGTTTCAGAGCGTTTTTCTTGTAAATTTATTTTTTAATTACTATGAGTACCATATATGAATTACAATCACAGCAAATCAAACAAAAACATTAACAGTAACAATGACAACAAATGGAACAATGACAAATTTAGTAAAACCGTAACAATTCTTCTTTCTTTCTTTTTTTAATTACTATGAGTACCATATATGAATTACAATCACAGCAAATCAAACAAAAACATTAACAGTAACAATGACAACAAATGGAACAATGACAAATTTAGTAAAACCGTAACAATTCTTCTTTCTGTGGCCCATAGACGTTTCGTTTGCAAAGTACCGTTTCGCAAAGTACCATTTCGTTTCGTTTCGTTTCGTTTCGCAAAGTACCGTAAGCCAGTTGTGGTTTCTTGGGGGCGTAGAGTAGAGTCGACACCGTTTCGACACTTAGAACAATTTCGTGAGAAGCAGTGCGTGACTTCGGGCACGTTTGCATCCGTGAAGCTATGAAATACCAGTCAGTCTGCTTTATCATATGTTTAAACGTTTATTGAACCCTTTGTGCCCGCTTGGCTACTCTGAAGGTCGATGAAATAGTTGGATTATACTAAAACCAGTTAGTTTATAAACCACGTTAAGTTAAGCCTTAGCTTACTACAGAACAATAGCCTAAGGACAATATGCCAATAATGCCAATATAACAATAATACTAGGAGTAATCGGAGCTTAGAAGAGTGCGTTCGATATGTTTGTAAGGCGTACAGGTAGCAGTTGAGGAGGAAGGGTGGATGGTTATTGCGATAGATTAAGCCCGGTTTAGGTGGGGGTTGGTGGGAGCCGA